CTCACCACTGTGTCTGCGGAGATGTCCCTGGAGAGCGGTTGCCTGCCTTCCGGGCCGTGACTCCCAGGCAGAGCCCGGTCTTCTGGCGAGAGCGCGCAGCAGCCTGCGTGGGGGCCCGAGGGGGCAGGAGGGAGCTGAGCGGTGGGCGCGGCCTGGTGACACCCCTCCTTCCAGAGGGAGCCCGCACACTACTTTGGCTACGTGTACGTCAGGCAGGTGAAGGACAGCTCTGTGAGGAGGGGCTATTTCCAGAAGGTGAGCGGCTGGTTGCTCTGGGGTGGCCCCGCTGAGAGCTGGGCGTCAGCAGCCATCGGGAGAGGCTGACGGTCTGGGGGCTGGGGGTCCTGAGCCTCCGGGAGCACCCACCCCTGCGCAGCCCTAGCCACTTGGCCCTGGGCAGGGGCCACCGTGCCACCTGGGGGCGGGGACGGCCTCTGGGGAACAGGCTCCGCTGCCCCTCCCTCTCCCAGCCCAGGCTCTAGCCCAGGCCTCCCTGCTCCTCGCTGAGGGAGGAGGGGGGCCCTCGTCACACTTTCAAGATTAGGACGACTTCAGTCTTGAATTCAGACACCAAAAGCAAAGGCTGCTTGAGCCCTGGGGAGACCATCCCATGATCCTGGCCACATGCATTTTCCTCTGAAGGCCTGGGGTCCAGCCCTGCCCTGCTGCACCTGGGGTTTTCTAATAGCCTGGAGTCCCACGTCAGGCGATTCCTGGGAGGTCAGTGGGACACCCCGCCCTGGGCGACCCTTGATGAGCCGGGCCTCAGGGGTCCCCGCAGGGTCCCAGGGGGCTGGGGCGACATCTCACCGGCCCTGGGCCCTGCAGTCTCTGGTGCTGGTGTCCCGCCTGCCCTTCGTCCGGCTGTTCCAGGCGCTGCTGAGCCTGGTCGCCCCCGAGTACTTCGACAAGCTGGCGCCCTGCCTGGAAGCGGGTGAGTGGCCGGCAGGCGCTGCCAGAGCTGCCTCGTCGTCATCCCAGCTGTAGCTCCTGGTGGCTCCACCGGGCAGCTTCCTCCAAGACAGGCTTCTGACGCTGGCCACCTGTGTTCACAGTCTGCAATGAGATTGACCAGTGGCCGGCCCCTGTGCCGGGGCAGACCTTGAACCTGCCTGTCATGGGAGTCGTCCTCCAGGTGAGGGCTGGCTGGCTGGGTTGGGACGGCCCCAGTGCGTGTTGACACACCATCCAGCCCCACTGGCAGCTGCTTCCTTCATCCATAGGTGCACATCCCATCCAGCGCAGACAAGCCTGAATCCGGTCCTCCAAAGCAGTGCAGCCACAAGGTGGGCGCCCTGCTCCCAGGCTGATGGCCCCATACCTGCCTCAACCCTCAACCCTCCCACGTGCCTGGGCCTCCCCACCTCCCCTGCTGGGGGCCCTGGGGGGTGGCCAGACCCCAGACACAGGGGTCTGCGTCTCCGTGCAGGGCTGTGGGGCGCCGGGAGGCACATGGGTAGGGACTGTGGCCCCTGGGACTCTCCCGGGATGACCTGTGCTGCTCGGGGCTTGTGAGGTGCCATCCTCCCCCGGGCCTGACCCCACCCCCCCTTCCTCTCAGAACCTGCTGCCAGCCCCGGTCGTCCTCACCAGTGTCCATGAGCTGGACCTGTTCAGGTGAGCCCTGCAGGCCACCACCTGCTGCCCCGGTAGGTGATGAGTGATCCCATGGGGCTCAGCCCATCGGGGTGGGGGTGCTGGGGGACATCAGGAGTTAGCCCCCTGCCCATTCTGAGAGGGAGAGTCCCGCAGAAGAGGAGCCCGGTGCCCCGATGTCTGCCCCCAGAGGAAGTGAGCACCGTGGGCAGGAAGTCAGGTCCTGGCAGGCAGGCGCAGGGAAGGGAGCAGCTGTGGTGGGAGATGCTGCCAGAGGGGCCCTCTCGGGAGGGCCAGCAGAGGACCCCACCTTTGGAGACCCTCTGGTCCTGTGCTGGGCCCAGCGGGAGCCAGGGCTGTCGGTTTCAGGCATGGCAGGGGCGCGAGGCCTGGCAGCACAGGTGGAGGGTCAGAACGGGGCAGGCGGGGGAGTGCCCCGGACACGCCCTCGGCGTCTTCACAAGGCCTCACGGCCCCCTTCCCTCTGGAGTGAGGCCCAGCCTTCACCCAGACAGGGCCTGCCTGGGCCTGGGTCAGGGCAGGTGGGCAAGGGCTGGGGAGCCTCCCACCCGGCCTCCCCAACGCCCCCGCCGGCCCAGGTGCTTCCGGCCCGTGCTGGCCCACGTGCAGCTGCTGTGGGAGCTCATGCTTCTCGGGGAGCCCCTGCTGGTCCTGGCACCCTCGCCCGCAGTGTCCTCGGAGATGGTGCTGGCCTTGACCAGGTGGGTCGGGCGGCAACGCGAGGGGCCGGGGGCCCCGGGCCAGCCCTGCGAACTGACCGTCCCTGCGGGTCCCTCCCCACAGCTGCCTGCAGCCCCTCAAGTTCTGCTGCGACTACCGCCCCTACTTCACGGTCCACGACAGCGAGTTCAAGGAGTTCACGACGCGCACGCAGGCCCCGTAAGTGCCGCCCTGCCCGCCTGCCCGCCCTGCGCCCTGCCCGCCTGCCCGCCCTGCGCCCTGCGCCCTCCGCCGCGTCTGTCTCTCCTCCCTCCCTCCCTCTCCCTCTCTCTCTCTCTCTCTCTCTCTCTCTCTCTCTAGACCAAGCGTGGTCCTGGGAGTCACAAACCCTTTCTTTATCAAAACGCTCCAGCACTGGCCCCATGTCCTCCGCATCGGGGAGCCCAAGATGCCAGGTGAGGTCCCCGGCCTCCACCCAAGGGTCCTGGGAACGTGGGGCCTCGCCGGGTCTGAGAGGCCCGGCCGTGGGGCGTGTCTCGTAGGGGACCTTCCCAAGCAGGTCAAACTGAAAAAGCCCTCAAGGCTGAAGACGCTGGACACCAAGCCAGGTCTGTGCCCCTCCTCCCCTCCCGGGACCCAGAGACACGCCTCGGGGCGGGGCGGGGCGGGGGGGGGCGGGGAGAAGACAAATTTCTACAGCCCTATGTTAGAGTAGTTAATAACATTGACTTTGGAATTACTGAGTAGGATTTCTGATATCCTTAGTAGGATTTCTCTAGCTATGCGATCTTTTGGGGAGCACGCTGCCATTCTGCTCTCCCCAGGCCTCTACACTGCGTACACGACCTACCTCCAGCGAGACAAGGCCCTGCTCAGACGACTGCTTAAGGTACCGCTGGGGGGTGCTCCGGGGGCGGAGAAGCTGGGCTCGGTGTGTGACGGGGGCGCAGCCGGCCTGCTGCGGCTCAGCCCTCGCCCCCCAGGGCGTGCAGAAGCGGCCATCGGATGTGCAGACTGCGGGGCTGAGGCGGCACCTCCTGGAGCTCACGCAGAGCTTCATCAGCCCTCTGGTGAGGCCCGGCTGGCGGGGCGGGAGGCGCCGGGCTGGACAGGCAGGCAGCAGGCTGGGGCCCAGGCTCAGACTCACTCCTCTTGCCCCCAGGAGCACTACATGGCCAGCCTCATGCCCCTGAAGAAAAGCATCACGCCCTGGAAGGTGTGGGCCAGGGAGGGACCGGGAGGACGGGCCCTAGGCCGATCCTTTGCGGGGGGCGGGGGCGGTCGTGTCTTGTGGGTGTGCAGGAGCCTCTGGGGCCAGCCTATCTCCACACCCGCAGGTGGCTCTCACAGGGAAGGGAAATGCGGGCCACACGGATGGGGGAGGGGTTCGAGGCCCTCTTCTCTGGGAAGGGTCACCCTGGGACCTGTCCCTACAGGGTGGGGGCTGGGGGACACACAAGGGGTCCGTCTGCCAAGTGCCCTGGGGAAGGTCCTGACCAGCCCAGGTGCGGGGCCTGCAAGGCCGTGCCCGCCCAGCACCCAGGCTCACCCAGCGCCTGTCTCAGACCCCTCCCCAGATCCACCCCTTCCGCCAGGACGACTTCCTGCGTAGCCTGGAGCGCTCGGGGCCCCAGCTCACCTGCCTCCTCAAGGGCGACTGGCTGGGCCTCTACAGGTGGGTGGACAGTAGGTAGGGTCCTGGGGCCCCTGCTGCTGGTGGCCGTGCCCATCCCTCAACACACAGGCTCAGCCCACAGCTGCTGCCCCTTGCCCCCCACAGGCGGTTTTTCAAGTCCCCCCATTTTGATGGCTGGTACCGACAGCGGCACAAAGAGATGGCCCAGAAGCTGGAGGCCCTGCACCTCGAGGCCATCTGTGAGGCGGTGAGGGGGCGCTTGGCTGCGGGAGAGCGCGGGGGGGTGAGCCCTGAACAGGGGCTGGAGGAGAATGCAGGGAGGGGCGGACACAGGCCCAGGGCTGGGCGAGGGCCTTGGCGATGGACGGCCTCATCTTGTCCCCGCAGAACATCGAGATCTGGATGCAGGACAAGTCCGAGGTGGAGGTCGTGGATCTGGTCCTGAAACTTCGGGAGAGGCTGGTGAGATGCCTCCCAGCCCTGCCCCGCCTCGGCCAGCCAGATGTGAAGGTCGCCTGCCCCTGACCACCGCTGCCCCTGCAGGTTCGGGCACAGGGCCACCAGCTCCCTGTGAAGGAGGCGACGCTGAAGCGGGCGCGGCTGTACATCGAGACAGTCATCGGCTCCCTGCCCAAGGACCTGCAGGTCGTCCTGTGCCCTCCCTAGGATGGGGCCCATGGCCCGGGGCCTGACTGCCCCTCAGGGCCTGGGTCTGGCCAAGATTCCCTCCCCCCAGTCAAGCACGAGCTCCCCCACCCAAGCTTCCGGTTGCCCCTGGCCCTGGCCCCCCACCTGGCACCACCATCATCCCAGCAGACAAGGTGGCATTTGGAACTACAGCCTGGCCCCTGACTGTTGGCAGATCACGTGCTGGCAGAGCCTCCCCTCCCCCTGGGCCCTACCTGCCCTCTCCAGGGTCTTAGGCAGGGGTGGGGGGCAGGCTGTGAGCCTTGCTGATCTGAACTGGGCCAAGGCCACACACCCCTCCAGGAGCCCATCTGCCCAAGCCCTGCAGGCCCCAGCGTTGCATCTGATGCATCCTTTAGACTCACCAGGCTGCCCAGCTCAGGATGGAAGGAGGCGGCTGACAGGCAGACCCCTCTCCTCACACAGCCCGCCCCCCGTCTGTCTTGTCTCGGGGCTGAGGGGGGAACCCCGCCTGCGGTCATCGCTTGGGAGGGGAGAAGCCGCTTTGCCCAGAGAAGAGCTATGCCCTGTGGTTCGCTGGGATGCCGCCAGAACCTGCGTGGCTGCCAGGCAGGTCCAGGGCATTGTCTTCGTTCCACTCCAGGGACACCCCACTGGGCACCTTCTCCGTTCACTCTGCCCTGCGCCGCTGCTCGTCGGCTGGCAGGCCCTCAAGTCGCCCCCGTGTCCATGCAGCCCCACAGGCAGTGAGGGGCTTGGACTCTAGCCTGACTAGGCCCGCGGCCTTGGGGCACCAAGCTCCTCGGCAAGGAGTGAAAGCCCCTCAGAAGGGATCCACGCCCCCATATGACACCTTGGAGCACTGGGCCAAGCAGTCACCGTGCTGTCATCGGCACCATCACAGCTCAGCGCACAGTGGCAGCGCTGGCAGCTGGTGGGGGGCAGGGCAGGGGGGGAGGCGTGGCGGACCCAGAGCTGCAGGCCTTTGGGTAAGTCCCACCGAATCCAACCCCAGATGCCTCACCTGAGGCACAAGGCCTCGTAAATGCCCGCGTGGGCCTTGGCGGCAACCTGAGCTGAGTCCTGGCTGAGCGATGTGGTGCAGGAGGCAGGCCAAGCGGGGGGCGGGGG